TGGATAAATCACTCAGCAGGCCCTGACCTGGAATCCACAGGGTAAGAGGAAGAGGGGTAGACCAAAGAACAGCTGGAGAAGGGACACGGAGGAGGAGATGAGGAGTATCAGCACCAGCTGGCAGGACCTGAGGAAGAAGGCCCAGAGACGAGTGCAGTGGAAGAACATCATCGGTGGCCTATGCCCTGGCAGGGGCGAAGGGCCTAAGTAAAAGTAAGTATAAAAAATGGAGAGAAGAAACGCCTGAGGGTATTTGACCACGTTACCTCCATACCAAATTCGACGTTTTGAACCTTTGACTTTCCAGCCTTGGGAGGATTTGGGTGGGAACATCAGAGGGTTTTGATTATGCACACGTGCACATTCCAACAGGTGCTTTGAACCACGCCGAGAAAAACAAATATGAACGTCGTATGACTGACCAATGAGACCTACATTGTACACATCCATTTAACGTGCACCATGAACGGAAGAAAACGCGGCAAAATTGACTCCTTCAAAGCCGGTCTCAACCCAGGAATGGTCAGTTAAATGTTACAGAAATACACAGCTTTTACGAAACAAAAATTTTCACAAATTATTGAATTTGACATGTTCATACTCGCTATGCTAGGGAATAACGTCAGCCAAATAGTTTGTTGCTTACCTGTACGAAAAACGAAGTCATCTCCAAACCGCGCACTTCTTCCTGGCTATCTCGCCATTTTGTTGTCTTCCCCCAAATTCTCCAGGTCAGAAAATCCGCATTTTCTCCTCCCAACACCACGAGAATGGTAATAAACGTACTGCAAAAACTTCCCATGTATCTACCATGTAGTTTAGAGAGACATTCTGCCAACAATGACTTGAAAACGTACCAGGAAAGTTGTACAAAAATAACATCCCTGAGCTTTCCCGTCGTAGCAAAGCACCATTTTGAACGAGCCTCGTGATTTTCTTTACACAGGTGTTCTAAACGGCCATATCTAATAATTTGTAATATGAAGCTGCTAATCTGATTAAGAAGACAACTTCGACCATTACTAGACATTTCACAACAAATTTTCTCTTTTGTATTGTAATGCTGCTTTTCTTTCTGCCCACTAAGTATACACGGCTTAGCTGCTACCGTGCTCTTTTCGTCACTCTATCTGCACCTTTAAGTCATTGTGAACGCCCAACGTCCAAATAAAGTGGCTGCACCTGGCCGTGTCACGGCGGTCCTAAAGCGCCGCCCAGTGAAGCGTGATTACACTGCAGCCACCGGCTTCAATCCGACGAACGTACAGGGCAGACGTCACAATTGCGCTGCGCAGTGGAGGCCAAAAAATGGGAACACGATTGTAGTGCCTAGTTAATACCTTTTAAAATCCTTTTTTCTCTTGAAAATTTTGGTCCATTTTGGAGATTTTTGGGCTGGAAGGCACAGGTAGGGTCTAAACTTTCCTACATTGGTCAAGTTTTGTTTATTTCACCAGTTTAGTGGGCGTAGTGAGAGATGTGAGTGGTTAGGTCTTGTCTGGCCAGGCGGATGGATACCAAGGAAAAAGTAGGTCAAAGTTGAGGTTTGTTTACTATCATCAGCTGTGGTGGGAATTTGAGGTGGTCGACCCCCTGTTTTCTTTCTATATGTGGGAAGCAGACCCTTGTGGCTACCTGGTGCAGAAGAATTTTTGAGATTGGAGTGTGGGTAAGTACTTTCATGAGGTGTTGAAATAGTGTATTTAAGCATGTGTTCCTATGGCAAGATCTAATAGTACTGTCTGCCCTACACGACCTAGCTGCATCTGTCCATGGCCATTACCTAAAGCTAATGGTACCTCAGCTCAGGAGAAACGTGTCTAGCAGCGAAGCATGAGATGATTATACAAGCTTTAAATGAAGAAAAGAACATGCTCCCACGGCCACATGAGCACTGATCAGTTATGCCACGCGACTTAATTTTATGGATGACATCCTCTGAAGACCCCCAAACTCATGCGCGCGGGCAAATAAAAAAAATGCCGACCAAAATAAAAATGTTCCTAAACCTCAGGAATACAAAGCTGGTATTGGGAATTTGCGGCAGTACTTAGCGAGGTATACGACAAGCCGACACATGCTGGCTTTTTGCGGAATTTATGATTATGAATCGGCAGTATGAGTCGTGAAGCTTCGGTAGCCTGGGTGCCCGGCTCTGTATTGCCGCTAATTATAATTAATTATAACTACCATGGACTTCCCAGGCCCTTCAGTGGTCTCGTCTAGTTTTTACACAGCATTCTAAATCCATGTCACCTCACACAGCAAGGTATTGCCTTATAAATTCTACTTAGTATTTGCAGCACAATTTTTAACTTAACGCTATTACTGATAGCTGTCATTTTTTCACTATTGTCTACTTGTATCAAAAGGAACACGATTAGTTACTGTTCAATTGGCTGATACAAAATCCCGCCATTATCCAAGTTGGCTTTAATTAGTACCCACCTTCCATGGCGATCAGCCTAGCGTCTGTCCAGCCGTGAGTGAAATTTCCCGCCAGTACTTATAAACGTAAGAACCACTGACGGGCCGTGAGGTAGGGGTAAACTTTTGAATGGGAAGGATTTGTGCAACGCCACTTGGCAGAAAGGTGGTCCAGAATGTTTGCCGGAGCATGGGCTACTTTAAATTTGGCGGCACAGCCTTTATTGTTATTTTGCAGACGATTTTCGTGTCGACTGTGAGCTGTGCCGCCATTGGGGGCTAAGCAGAAGGACGAGGGCAAAGCAGAATTGCGCCGGGGGCGTAGAGGAACGACGGGGGCGAAGCAGATTTTTTGCGGGGGCGAAGCAGAACGGGGCGGGGGCGAAGCAGAACGGCGGGGGCGAAGAGGAAGGAGTTTCATGGGGGTGAACAGGTACATTACAATTACGCATCGTACCACGCAGACCAATTCAATTCACAATGTTAACACAACCCTTAAAAGTGGATTCTTTTCTGAAGGAAGTACTCAGAGGGCTGAAAAAAGGCCTTGAAATTGTGGAAAAAAGGTTTTAACATTTCTGCACAAATCTGACTACCGTGGCCCCTAATCCTCCTATCCAAATAATTTTCCTTGCATCTTTCATCTTAGGGCCTGGCTTCGAAGTCGAAGGACTTTCATACAAAATATACAATGGACGGACTTCCTCTGATAACGTATCCATGTAATCTTCTAGCAGCTTAGCAACCAGAAGATTATTGTGGGCGTAATTATATTATATAAGTCAAAACGGAGAAAAAGGAGGTATCGGTAAACTTCTGGGATATTTCATGTTCGGTAAGCAAGAGTAGCAAGAAGAATGAATGAATTTTAAGATTTTGCACGGTCTTCCCGTCAAATATGTGACCACCAGAACGAAACCTGAACCAATTAGGGTATATTTTTGTGTGTTCGTACTAAATATTCTAGCAAAAGTCATTTGCAAGAATAATTCTAAAGTATTTTGCTAAGCCTGTTTGCATGTCTTGTGAATGGTCTGCGTAGGACGACAGAGGTCCCTGTCGTGTCATTGTTACGTACGTGTGCAACATTAATATATACAATTGATATGGCCTCGACGTCAGTGTCAATGGTCGATTATGACACTGCCATATTTAAGCTTCGGTCCCAATTGCGCCGGTGCCCGTCGGGGATGTAGCCCCGACTAGCCCCGGTCGAGCTCATGAGTCGGGCGAGCATCGGCTGTCATGGTCACAATTAAAAGTTTCCTTCAGTAGCATTTTGTTAAAAATTTTGTCACCCTCTTTGGTCGGTCTCCGGCAGGCACCCGGCAGGTACCCGGCAGATTCTCTGACGATGTCTTGTACTGACCTATACGTAATGCAGAATTCACGCTTTTGTTATGATCATTTGATCTATGACGTCACACTGACGTCTCACTGGTCTGTGACGTAACAAATGTGTCCCGGTGGATTGCCGGCAACCGGAGGGGTACCTCTTGGTGTTCTCAAGGCTCGGTCACGGCGTCTTTTTGTCAGTGGGACCCGAGTAGAATTTAAGTCAGAATTAAATTCTTCTCGGGTCACCACCGGGCCGAAAAATAGCCCGGTAGCCGCAGGGTGTCCTGCGGGGCCACGTAGGGGTCACGCCGGAAAGTCCCATAAAACAGCCCGGAGACTACCCAGCAGGGCCCCTTTTTTTTCAATCGGGACCGAAGCATTACGAGTGCCATCTGTCGTAATGACAAAATCAGCTCTGAATGATACGAAGAAAAAAAAGTGTCTTCAAGACTCCCGTCTAATCTAAAACAGAAGTCTTTTCATATTTCTCACAAGATCTACAAAGAGCGGACTCCTTCTGATAAAGTAATCTACATGATCTTCTGGCAGCTTAGCAGCAAGATAATTATTGTGGGCGTAAAGAAACGGACAAAAAGCAAGTAAAAGTGGTGATATCTTTTAGATATTACATTTTGGTTAAACAAGCTGGTACATGGTGGCAACAAAATTCTGGTATAAGGTGGAAATACATGATCACGATTTCTAAACAAATTTTTAAACACATAAATACGGGTTTTATCACTCATTTTTTTTCAACTTCTAGCAATAACCGACAACATCTTGACTTTGTTTCGGTACTTGCGTCTTTTGTTACTTGATGTAAAACTTTGAAAGGTACGTTTGTTCCTAACAAAAGAATGCTGAACGTTTTCCTCTCTTACATATCGTGTCCTTTTGAACATTTTACCTCGTTGAGCTTCATAAAGAATATTATCAATGTGTGCATGTAAAATTTACTAATTGGCTAAAATTCAGGGGAAAATTCAGCATGCATTGGACAATGTACACTGTATGCCATTTTCAATATTCCGCATCCGAACTGGCTGGGGTCTCAAAGCATTGCTTTGATGTTATTCTTTTATTGAGCGGCTTCAATCATCTCTAATCTCAGATTACGGGATCTGGGTTCAGATTACCTTTTGTCTAGGACTCTACGTGAGTCGTCAACAGCCTTGCAGGAGTAGGACGTGTTTTTTTTCGCTGTCCAGAAACCATCATGTTGGAAGAGGAGCAACAGTCTCAGGATGGTGACACTAGTAAGCGTTTACAATTTGGTTATCATATAAACTTCAGTAAACTTTTTTTTCAGAAGTTTTGGAGAAAAAAAAAAGAATTTCAATCTTTTTTTTTGCCATCAGTGGCCCATATCGAATTGCCGTCTGGCATTTAGAAATGTTTATTCCTTGTATTTCATTGTTTTTTTCTTCTTCTTCCTTCCTTGTTACTTTACGATTAGACGAAGATAAGCATCCTATCTTCCTGTATGAATTTTTCTTTATTTCTCTCAGGTGCCACACCCATGCAGCAGCCTGAGCCTTATTGGCGATCACGTGCGGACGCCGCTGCCAAATTACCCAACCCAATGTACGCCTCCAATGCAGGTACATTAATTACAGTCTTTTTTCATGTTTGCATCTTCAACCTTGTATTAAACGCCTCAAATTATCTATGGATAACTGCATGTTTTTTTTTTCAATTCGTTAGGCGCCACACGTATGCGGCAGCCCCAGTCATATTGGCAATCACTTGCGAACGCCGCTGCGAAAATGTTCAACCCTATGTACGCCTTTAGTTCAGGTAAATCGTTCATATTCCCTATCTTCTTCGTTTTGTGTGTTCAAGGCCCAGTATTTTTCACAAATGACTTTTTTTATATCTTTGTTGTTTTTTTTTCGCCCAGCAGACTCACCAACGCACCAGCCCCAGACTGATTACCAGGCACGTGCGAGCAACGATGAAAACACACCCGAAGCCACGTACGCCACCATAGCAGGTAAAACGTTTTAAAGAGGAATTTGGAGGACCCAGGGTCCTCCACCAATAAGGAAACTATCCCCTGTGAGGATCTAGTAGCTAAATTGACCCCGCACATCCTCCCAACATCATAAATGGATTATAAGCCACGGGGTGTCTGAACCCGACTGCCAGTGGAAACAATGGGAGCAGACGACAGTGATTTGCATATTACCTGACGTTTGAAGTTTTGAAAAATGTTGTATTTTATCTTCACTAGTTTTTCAACAAAACATTGCCATACAAGGAATGTACAGTTGCAGCAAACCTAAACACAATCCATGTAACATTTACTTGGCAGTTGTTATACACGATAAGGCCCTACAGTTTCCAATTTGAACAATTCCAGCAGAGATGAGCCTCTGTCAAGCTTCCATGTTTGTTTCAAAAACTTATATCTGTAATCACAAATTGCACGTCTTATCCACAGCCAAACTAGATTTCTATTGATATGATAGTTGTATGTTAACAAATATACAATGTAGAAACATGTAGAAACACATTTGGCGGCTTCTTGCATTATATTAGAATCCAAGTCTGAAATGCTGAATAGATGAAGTCCCAGTTTTACCAGGATTGGCATAGTTACATGCCTGTGTAGTTATTAGTCCATATTCTTGTTGTTTAGTAAAATATTATATGTACTTTTCATGTACATATCCATGTCTCCACATAATGTTGAAGAGGTGTACTTGGTATACTATCTCAGCCTAGCTCTCCCCATGTGTTCACCACGGCTGCCAGCTGCAGAATGAGCTGTGAGAGTTTACAGTACCCGAATTTATTGGGTGGTTTTATAGTCCAACCTTCCTCTTTAACCCAATCTAGGATGGGGGGGGGGGGCTAAAAGTGCCCGCGCCAACTTTGATGTCACGTAGCGTCTGAACGGCTAGAGCTAGAACGGCCAAACTTGGTGACTTTTCCTTTTTGTTGGCAACAATTCTGTATCATTGGAATAGGATAATTATTTTTTTGTGTTGCCATGGCAACGGGTTTCTGACAGGCATTTTTTGCTAAATTTAGTAATTTTAGTTTCAACAATAGAATTTTATGGGTTTTATGTTAAGTTACACATGATTTCTAATATTAATAACATCTCAGATAATTATATGTAAATTCTATAATCAAAAATGCATAATTTATGCTAATTTTATGACGTCATTGGCCAAAATTCAAGATGGCGGACCATATCATTAGTACAGCAATTTACAGGTTATTTTCCTTAAAATTTCATCAAAACTTCCATTTCTTTTTACAAGAAAGGTCCCACCAAGCCCAAAAAAGCCCGGTCTAGATAGGGTTCAGTTTCTTTCATTTCTTGTATCCTGTTTTGATATGCTTTGTGATTGTAACCTCACTAAAGCTAATTGATTCTTTTAAGTAGTTACCGTGATTGGCCTGTGGTACTATTCGCGTACTTTGGTAGGTTTTTGTTGAAAACGTTCTAAAAAGTTTATCAAAGTAATTTCCACAGTTTCGTAATGTACCAAAAGAATTTTTTTAGCATGAAAGTTAATCTATGTCCGTATATTTCATTGTGACAAAATGAACGTTAAGGCCAACACTGAGTAAATTGGGACGTACCCAAATTTTCGGCCGACTCCGTCCGACATTTTTTTCCAGACGACCCACCCATGGACCAACCCCAGGCACGTGCGAACGACGACGAAAACACACACGACGCCACGCACGCCTCCGTACCAGGTAAAACGTTTCTTTTATTGCATCCTGTTTTTTTTTCGTTCCTTGGTGATTGTAACTGCACTAAAGCTGCTGGTTTCTTTTAAGTAGTTACCTTGATTGGTCTGTGATGGTATTCCGGTACTTTTGTAGGCTTTTATTGAAAACTTTATTAAATATATACTTTAAAAATAGTTCATTGAAAGTAATCCACATTTTCGTAATGTACCAAATTATTATTTCAAGCACGAAAGAAACCACTATAAACATGCAAATTCTTTACCTTATAATGCTGAGGTCACATTTCCAAACCGGGGCCCGGCCGGGTAGTTTCGAATTACGAATATTCAACAACTTATATTAATAATATATTTAAGTACATGTAGTACCCATTATTGATTTTCGAAAACTTTTTTGTGCTTTGTTGTTGAGGTCAATCGTATATAGCCCCTATGTTGTTAAGTCCATGAAAAATGGAGGTATTGTTTTTGGCGTGTCTGTGTGTCTGTGTGTGTCTGTGTGTGTCTGTGTGTTTTCGCACATTTGTAGTCAGCATAACTTCAGTTATGAAATCTCTGAATTCTTGTTCGTTTTGTATGCTAAAGGCTTAATTGTTTTCACAAATGACTATATTAAATCTTTGTAATTTTCGTCCAGACGACCCACCCATTAACCAACCCCAGACTGATTACCAGGCACGTGCGAACGACGATGAAAATATAAACGACGTCACACACGCCACCATACCAGGTAAAATGTTTTAAGTTTCTCTCTTTTCTTGCATCCTTAGATTAGGTTCTGACTTGCAAAGTCAATACGATAATGCTATTTTCCCCTTCTGATAATTTTGCGTATTTCATACTCATGACATGTGTAAATTTGTTTAAACTCAGCATTGCTATGCGCAAATGTGGACGTAAGCAATAACCTGAGCGAAGTATGTTTTTCCTACCAGACGGCGCGTATCCGGGTGGAGCGAGCGGCCGCCGTGGTGTCTGTAGCTTCCTCCGCGCCCGCCATATCTGTCTGGCCGCCGGCATCGCCATGCTACTGAGTATGGGCGTCGTGGGACTCGCCCCTCTGACGTTCAGCAACAAACAGGTAACGGTCTTGTACCATTAAACTTTCTGTTCAGCTGTTTTTCTTATTACCTCCATGAAAAATGAAGGTATTGTTTTTAGCGTGTCTGTGTTTGTGTGTGTGTGTGTGTGTGTGTGTGTTTCCGCACATTTGTAGTCAGCATAACTTCAGTACGCCTTTATGGATTGTGATGATATTTGATATGTAGGTAGGCCATAGGAAGACAAAGGTCAAGGTCAAATATGGGCCTCCTCTTGGATGACCTTGGTACTGCAGCAGAACTTCCGGTTTTTGTATCGTTTGTCATGGACATGCTATGGTCTTGACTTTTGAGTGGCGGATAGTTTCTCCTGTCAGTAATAAGTGGTGTGGGTTTGGTCCCCCTAGCAGCTTGTTCTGGGACTGCAGGGAGGGAGTTTTGGCAAAACCTTTCGATAAATTGCCAAAAAACAGTTACTCAAGCAACTGGATATGATTTTGAAAACGTCAGACGTTTCAGCTAGTATCCACTAGCTTTCGTCAGTGACTGAGAGACCAGAGGGGAAAGCAGGTTTATATACACAACCTGTTGATTGATATGCAAATAAAGTGAAGACAAATTTTTGGAAGTCGAAAAAGGAACAAAAGTCAGACAAGTCAAGACAAGATGATGCAAATTAGTCTGAAAGCTCCTGTTATACAGGACAGGAGCTTAAGTGTTGTCTGTCCTCGGGGCTGGGAGTGCCAAATCCCAAGTGCCGGAAAGATCGACCCGTAGCCCCCCTTCCCTGTTGAGGGTGGGGTTGTACATTCTTTCATATATTGCCTCTTTAACCCCCGTTCCCACCAGCGTGTTTCGCGGTCTAAGACATCCGTGGACTCGAGTTTGAAAGAGTGACCCTGGTTGTGTTGTAGGTGGTGGAGAATAGCTGAGGAGTAGCCGTTGGCACTAGGTCGGCAATGTTCTTTGTACCTTACTTTAAGCGGTCGACTTGTCTCTCCGATGTAGGTGTTGTTACAATTGGGCTCCTCACATTTGAGTCTGTAAATAACATTCGCCTTGGTACCCTTGTGAGGTCGGTCCTTAGGGTGTACCAGTCTTTGTCTGAGGGTTGAGTGAGGTTTGAAGTTAGTGGCTATGTTGAAGTCTTGGAAGATCCGTCGGAGTTTCTCAGATACTCCTTGGACATACGGAATAGTGATGTTAGCCTTGTTTTTGTTGGTCAATGGTTTGCACTTCTGGGTTTTCTTAGACTGATCTGAAGGTTTGAGCGCTTTGTTTTTAGATAATCTTTCGATAAATTCACTTTTTTTAAAAATTATTATAACAATGTATTTTTATGATGTTTGGTATGTGGGTAGCTTAGACAGAGATCTACACTATTAGATGCAAATTATGCAAATGATGGATGCAAATTATGCAAATTCAAGTGTTTTACATCATGGGACTTTCATACATGTAATGTTTATAATCTATGGAAGGTGGAATATCAACAGCCACCAATTATGCAAATATGAACCTAATTTGCATAATTAATCTGAACATTCTATGACTCCTTTGTGGTAAATGATGGGAATTTCATTCTTGGACNACCGTAGAAACGTACGAAGTTTATGGAATACATAGGATCCTTACTAGAAACATACGAAGTTTACGGAATACATGATCCTTACTAGAAACATACGAATTTTACGGAATGCATACGATCAATTACTAGGCTAGAAGCCTGTGGCTATTGACAGGATCGTCCTGTCAATAGCAGAAAATATTGCACTGCTGACAGGATCGTCCTGTCAATAGCAGAAAATATTGCACTGCTGACAGGATCGTCCTGTCAATAGCAGAAAATATTGCACTGCTGACAGGATCGTCCTGTCAATAGCAGAAAATATTGCACTGCTGACAGGATCGTCCTGTCAATAGTAGAATAATTTGCACTGCTGACAGGATTTTTCCTGTCAGCAGTGCAAATTTTTCTACTATTGACAGGATCGATAAGATTTTGGTATTTTTATTTCATACTGGAAATTTTGGGGTGGGCGCTGGTTCGTGTAGGTCTTATGTAGGTGTTATTACTAGTATGTATGCTATTAGGCCATTTTTTACGATCCTGCGCTGCGGCCCCTGCAGATCGTCGTGCATACATTGATCCCCCGCTCGGTAGCGCCCTTTATTTCGGCCAATTTCTACTATTTTTCCAGCGATCCGCGGTGCCTGGTAGAGGCTAGTCGGGGCGACAGTAAGCCATTACGGCCGGCGCCGCGGGAATGACACAGCGGCCCACCGGCGGGTACGAGACAGCGCGTCGGGGTGAAAGGATGGCGGACAAGGTCTACTCGAAACCTTACCCTGCAATCAAGAACAGCCACCGTATAAACAATATGGCCTAGCCTGGATGCCATCCGGCTAACTACAGCAGTGCTATAGACGAATTCCAGCAAATTGACTTCCTTCAGTTATTTAAGTAGAGACGTGTGTTGCTTGGTCCATGAGGGGACCCCGAGGTGATAGCTTAGTGATGAGTGAAGGGGTCCCCCAGGCCCTGGGGTCTCCGATCAGCCGAGTAGGCGGGCAACACAACAGTACGGTATTCCCTGCGTAGTCTCCACCAGACTCTTTTGCAGGCTGAATAAATAGTCGACCCTCTATGGCCGACCAACTCCCCTGGCTAGCTATACTCTTTTTATGCCGATTTCTACAATTTATTCAGACTTCAAAAGAGTCTGGTGGAGACTAAATAGATCTAAATCGTAAATAGTCACTGTTACTTCTAGGTCCTCCTTTCCAGTCAGTTGTAGAACTGTATTGCGCGTAATGTCATCATCATATTAGAGTAGAGTAGAGTAGAGTAGAGTTGTTCAGGCCGGGTAGGAGTCCTGCTCCAATATTGAGGAGACATAAATGATAACTTTATTGCACAACAATAGTACAGCGTACAAAGTATGGCATCTACTGGTACATAACATAAATTTCAACTATACAGACAATGCCATAGAATTTGTGGATGCCCTTTCCAATGCCGGTTTCGATTCCATTGTCATGCAAGGATCCAAGCAGATGTATAAAACCGATTGGAGACCTCATGAGCTTGTCGTTATAATGGGTAGAGTAGAGTGAGTAGAGTAAATATGTAGCATTTGTGAGCTATTACTATTACACGTTTTATAGTTATATGTTGCTTACCTTTTTCCATTTGATTTGTTGAAGTTGTTGAAACAAGGAGGTCTGATTTTAACCTCCTTGGTTGAAAGAATAAAGGATAGAGATCAAACTTCTTTTTGTCTTTTTTATTGTCATCTTATGTAAACACAACTGCCTTCGTATTTCAGACAGCTTATGCGTGAAATTCACCTGTATTTATATTTTGAGCATGTCTAGTTTTGACATGTATCTGCTGGAGTACTCTGTAATGATAATAACTAGCTGTTAACGCGATGATAGCCGCCATCGTGAAACGCCTAATCTACAGTACAGTAGCATATGCCTTCTGACTGAAAAAAAATGAAAACATGGTTAAAAAAAATGAAAACATGAAGAAATCATGTCAATACAGCCCAAAATGGAAGATTTAAAAAATCCTGTCAATAGTGCCAAAAATGGCACTGCTGACAGGACGATCCTGTCAATAGTGTCAAAAATGGCACTGCTGACAGGACGATCCTGTCAGCAATGCAGTATTTCCTGTTATTGACAGGATCGTCCTGTCAGCAGTGCAGTATTTTCTGCTATTGACAGGACGATCCTGTCAGCAGTGCAGTATTTTCTGCTATTGACAGGATCGTCCTGTCAGCAGTGCAATATTTTCTGCTATTGACAGGACGATCCTGTCAATAGCCTCAGGCTTTTATCTATAGAAAGGTGTTGTTTTTTATCTGTTGCAAGGCACGGAGGCAGAAAGGCTTGTTTTGCCGCTTTATTGTAAATGACCGCAGGTGACCCCGAAATAGAACGCGGGTTCGATTCGAATTGCCCAGATCGAACACGATCGAACACAGTTCGGGTTCTATGACATGTGGGAACTTTGCAGCCCAGATTTTACCACCGTGGTGATGGTATTCCGGTACTTTTGTAGGCTTTTATTGAAAACTTTATTAAATATATACTTTAAAAATAGTTCATTGAAAGTACTCCACATTTTCGTAATGTACCAAATTATTATTTCAAGCACGAAAGAAACCACTATAAACATGCAAATTCTTTACCTTATAATGCTGAGGTCACATTTCCAAACCGGGGCCCGGCCGGGTAGTTTCGAATTACGAATATTCAACAACTTATATTAATAATATATTTAAGTACATGTAGTACCCATTATTGATTTTCGAAAACTTTTTTTGTGCTTTGTTGTTGAGGTCAATCGTATATAGCCCCTATGTTGTTACGTCCATGAAAAATGGAGGTATTGTTTTTGGCGTGTCTGTGTGTGTGTGTGTGTGTTCGTGTTTTCGCACATTTGTAGTCAGCATAACTTCAGTTATGAAATCTCTGAATTCTTGTTCGTTTTGTATGTTAAAGGCTTAATAGTTTTTACAAATGACTATATTAAGTCTTTGTAATTTTTGTCCAGACGACCCACCCATGGACCAACCCCAGACTGATTACCAGGCACGTGCGAACGACGATGAAAATATAAACGACGTCACACACGCCACCATACCAGGTAAAATGTTTTAAGTTTCTCCCTCTTCTTGCATCCTTAGATTAGGTTCTGATTTGCAAAGTCAATACGATAATGCTATTTTCCCCTACTGATAATTTTGCGTATTTCATACTCATGACATGTGTAAGTTTGTTTAAACTCAGCATTACTATGCGCAAATGTGGACGTAAACAATAACCTGAGCGAAGTATGTTTTTCCTACCAGACGGCGCGTATCCGGGTGGAGCGAGCGGCCGCCGTGGTGTCTGTAGCTTCCTCCGCGCCCGCCATATCTGTCTGGCCGCCGGCATCGCCATGCTACTGAGCTTGGGCGTCGTGGGACTCGCCCCTCTGACGTTCAGCAACAAACAGGTAACGGTCGTGTACCATTAAGCTTTCTGTTCATCTGTTTTTCTTATTACCTCCATGAAAAATGGAGGTATTGTTTTTAGCGTGTCTCTGTGTGTGTGTGTGTGTCTGTGTGTATGTGTGTGTTTCCGCACATTTGTAGCCAGCATAACTTGAGAACGCCTTTATGGATTGTGATGATATTTGATATGTAGGTAGGTCGTATCAAGACAAAGGTCAAGGTCAAATATGGGCCTTCTGTTGGATGACCTTGGTACTGCAGCAGAACTTCCGGTTTTTGTATCTGTTGTCCTGGACATGCTATGGTCTTGACTTTTGAGTGGCGGATAGTCAGGAATAAGTGGTGTGGGTTTGGTCCCCCTAGCAGCTTGTTCTGGGACTGCAGGGAGGGAGTTCTGGCAAAACCTTTCGATAAATCAACATAGAAACAATGTATTTTTATGATGTTTGGTATGTGGGTAGCTTAGACAGAGATCTACACTATTAGATGCAAATTATGCAAATGATGGATGCAAATTATGCAAATTCAAGTGTTTTACATCATGGGACTTTCATACATGTAATGTTTATAATCTATGGAAGGTGGAATATCAACAGCCACCAATTATGCAAATATGAACCTAATTTGCATAATTAATCTGAACATTCTATGACTCCTTTGTGGTAAATGATGGGAATTTCATTCTTGGGACATGTGTAAGTGAATCAAAAGTTAACATCACGATGTATCTATTATGTTAATGTCTAGGTCATTTGCATAATCTAAATTTACATATCAAGCCCATATTTCATGGAGGTATGAGATCTCGGAAATCATGCCACGTTCTCATTCTGCTTTTAAGGAGGGTACAGGAAATAATTTTCTGCAGTTTTCGTAAGCTTGCTTCTTACGTTCGGTATTCTGACGTACGTAAATTCGTTTGTAGGAGATATCTCAATTGTCGACAATTGTGAAACGCGACTTGCGCCGACTGTCCACCACTGTCAACGCCCTGAAGCGCGACCAAGCCGACATGTCCGCCATTGTTGACGCCTTGAAGCGCGACCAAGACAACATACGTCAACTGTCCAACACTGTTGACGCATTGAAACGTGAGCTGGACAGCGAGCGAAACCGAACCGCCACCTCGGAGCAGCGCCTGAACGAGAAGACTTTGCGTAATTATGAAATATTTATCAGCTGTTCTGTTTGCTCTTTATGTTGATCTATTTGAAAACGTCAGATAATGCAGGCCACTATTACATGTGTGTGAGTGTTTGTGTGTGTGTGTGTGTGTGTGTGTGTGTGTGTGTGTGTGTGTGTGTGTTTGTTTGTGCGGGTGGGTGGTTGGTGTCGCCTTTAAGACTAAGTCATTTAATTCATACACGTCCGAACGACGATGAAAACACACCGGAAGCCAAGCACGCCCCCATAACCCGTATGAAATTTACATAAATAAAAAAAAAAGAATTTGATTTCATTACTTTTCATAAGTGAACTTTAATTCATATAGCATATGTATACATGTACATAGCATATGTATACGATATGTCATATTAAATATTCGTATTTCGAATACAGCGCCGAGTGTATATTTATTTTATGTACATCATGATTTTCAATATGACCCGTCTATGACCTGTTGCTAATATAAACCTTATTTTCCAGCATCTTGTCCCGAAGGTTACACAATGTGGCGTGGAATCTGCTACAAGGCCTTTAACACATCCAAGACCTTCAGCGAAGCGGGCGCGGCCTGTCGTGCAGACGGCGGCACCCTCGCCATGCCCCGAGACGCCGAGACCAACGCCTTCCTCATCTCCCTGTACATGTCCGTGCGCGATGAGTTCTTCTTCTGGATCGGTCTGCACGATCGGTGCGAAGAGGGACGGTTTGAGTGGATGGACGGTTCTGCACTTGGGCCGTACAGCTCCTGGGGTCAGGGACAACCGAGCAACAATCAGGACCAAAGCGACTGCGTCGCTTACTCCGGATACCTATCCCCATGCCTAAAAGACAAGTGGTACGACGCACCCTGCGACGCTGAGTATTACTACATATGCCAGACTGTTCCAGCAGGTACTCACTGTATCCGCATAATTTTCTGAAACCCTTCCTCCATCTAGTATTTGCCACCACCATTAGTTTAAAAACAGTAAATTCAGGGCACCCGTATCTGTGTTGGAGTTGGGGTGGTGGTGGTGTGGTTGTGTATTTCAACCTTTAACTGCATATGTTGCATGTATGTTATCATCACCATCATCATCATCATCTTTCATCCTCCATAATAGAGGTGGAGCATACAAAGTTAGCTCGCCAAAACTGTTTGTCATACATCACATACATGAGTTCATGTCCCTTCAGTTTCAATAAGTTTCTTAAGCGTAGTGTTTGGGCGTCCAACTCTTCTCGTACCGGTATCAGGATTCCAGAGTAGAAGCCTACTGGCTGGTTCTTCACTACGTACTACATGACCGGCCAAGCTTAGTCGTCGACATTTGACTACTGAAGTTACATTTGGTATGTTTCCACCACGGTGTATTGAAAACCACTCGCAGCATCTTCGTGTATGTTCCGTTTAGTTTTCTAGAATGCGACATATTCATGACCAATGATTCTGACCCATACAAAAGAATTGTTTCAATACATGCCTTAAACACTTTGATCTTAGTTTGTTTTCTAATAGGCGCTTTCCAAACCTTATGTAATGAGTAAAGAGCACTCCATGCCTGTGCGATCCGCACATCCATGTCATGAACACTATCAGAGTACCCCCCTAAGTATTTGAAATCCGCAACACATTCGATTTCAGTGCCATCAGTGGCAAAAAGTAAACTGTCAGTAGTAGGGTTTAGATGCATGAACTTTGTCTTGGAAGCATGTATGTTATGATTTTCCAAATGATCCATATTTAGCCTGTTAGTTTTTTTTTCTCCGTCTTAAAGACAGAAAAATCGCTGACAGAAAAATCCACAAACAAACAAATAAACAAACCTGTACACTCCCTGCCTAGGGTTGAGTTTAGCGTACATGAAAAGAAATCTCTGTTCATACGGACTCAATGGCCCGGACAGTCTCAATGGCCCATAGTGTATATACATCCATACATAACATGACCATTGAACATAACATGACACAACACATCTAAAGAAAACAAACATCGAAGTATGTAAAGATAAATAAGCCACTCACAACGCCTTTTTCTCACTTGTAAGTGTTTTAATGGTTCCTGGTCTTTGCCCCAAAGCCAGGCGGGAATAAAACTTGCTTGGACGCTTGAACGCTTTCGGGAACCATTTTGTTCTAACCAACACTCAAATAAGTTATAACTTCAAATGTATGGTTTTAGGGAATATTTTAGGAAATTAAGTGTACTTTGTTGCTTTGTTTAGTGCAGGAACATCAGGAATGTAGACCGAGTACACAGTGTGTTCTGTATGGTTGCGTGCTTATTCACAAGGAAACAAAACTCAGGCCGTGTTCATGTGAAGTCAGTGAAGGCGCTTTACATGTGGCTTACCCCGACGCCGGTTTCAAGTGGCTCCATCTGAACACTCCAAATCACATTGAAAGCGCCTCGATCCCAAACCACTTCTAGAGGTGGTTTCGAATGGGTTTTCCCGCATCGCGATTTGCGTCTGAACGTGTGATTTCAATGTAACTTTGCCTGGTCATGAATTAATGGGTGATATTTCTTTATTTATATGCAATACCAACTTTTACGTGGCATCAACTTAAAGAGCAGTGATGGTCAAATAATGTGTCCGTTATAGGACGAGCTGCACCGCCTCTGGCGGGACCACGTCGGCATTCGGCCGAGATACGCTGGGAGGGGGGCACCAGCAAGCAGGTCGTTGACCTCTGACATTAATAACACTCTACCTTGCGTGTTTTCATCAAACAGCAATAAATGTAGCTCAGGCGAATTGTGATCGGACACGGTTTCAAAGGAATGTATGGCACGTGGACCAGATGTGAGGAATGTGAGTTACCGGTTTGGGTGACTTCACATGAACAAGGCTTCAGTGGCTTTATAATGAAGCGCGAGATATCTTGCTCCACCTGTCAATGTGTCATCCACGGGCCTCCCACTCGACAACGTCGACACAGCACAATACTAAAGTAATGTGCAAATTAAAGTGATTTCCATTCTGGGTATGGAGCAAAGTCTCGCTCGTGAATCCGTGCAGAGTTATCCTGAGGCAATGCATTAGCCTTGGGTTTAGGGCAAGGTTGGCATGCAAGGGAGAATGTGGGGAATATTCCAGTTCCAGCTTGTTTATCGGTTTACGTTAATTACAATCAGTTTGCCAGTGCTGTATGCTGCAGTTCCCTTAGATTGCTGCCTCTCCCAGCAGAATTATAATGAAGTTTCTTGACAAAACAAAAGTACAGTGACTTTCGTAAGGTCTTAAACATGTAGACATATAGACAGATACAACGAAATAAACCTACATACAAGACAATATATGAATCAGGTTATACTATTTGTTCTAAGGTCTTTTTTGTATTTGTACACAGTAAGGGTTATTACCTTCTTGAATGAAATTGAATTTATATTTCTCGCCATATCACAGGTTTTGGGGGGGATGTTTCTTTTGTGACAATTCGCCTCCTCAGGCCTTTCGGTCAAATGAAATGAGCTTAGATTTGACAATCAATCAATCAATCAATCAATCAATCAATCAATCAATCAATCAATCAATCAATCAATCAATCAATCAATCAATCAATCTTTATTGCGCAACAATTGCAATGGACATGATGGCAGACATTTTGCTTTTCAGTCACAGGTCTGGAAATCGTAGTCTGGTGTCCAGCGCTAGCCTTGTTAGCTTCAGCCCGCTCCCCAAGATCCGCTTGGCGGGGAGCGGATCTTGGGGAGCGGACTAAAGCTAACAAGGCTGGACACCAGGCTATGCGAAATCAGAGATCTAACCAGTCGCAGAAAATTACACTGATATGGTGTCAAAGAAAGAAATGCAAAATGACGTCAACAGACACAAACATACATGATAGAAAACAAACAAGTGAATAAAATCCCTTACACAAAACATTACAGAAAACTATTACATGTATCACACATTTAAGTTATACAAAACGACCAGCATCATATAGTTGAAACTAAAAAAATATTTGAAGCATTATAAGCTTGAATATGCTGCTCTTTGTTCTTTCTTATGAGCAACAAAATTTGTTCTGTCTTGATAGAAGAAATATTGAAGTCTTGATTTGAAATATCAATAAAGACAATTATTAATATTCTGTGTGCAAAAAGCCACAGTTTGCCCGAAAACGTGCCTTTCGCATGCATGGTAACATAAGCCTTTCCTTCTCAGTCCAAAGACCGCATGGCCGAAGGTTACCTCAAAAGCAATTCCCTAGGGAACGCATTCGTGCAATTTTTGAAATTCTTTCAAAGCGATCGTAGTACTTGCACAAATGCCTCCGCCCCAAAGGCGTCGCCAAAAAAGAACTTAGCTGATATCTACCGTAACGATAAAAAAGGACATCACAGATGCCTACATCTTTCTCTATATTTATTGACATCAAACATCAATGTCCATATCCATATATAGTATGTATAACAGTAGTTTACAGTAATTCCTTCGGTAGTCGATACACGTTGCGTAGGTGTGAAGTGCCTGTAATTATACTTAGTTCTTCTCCATTTCACCATCTTGGTTAGCTGGCACTCTTACGGTACAATATAAACCCATCCACACCAAAACCTTCACAGCATCCGTATAGTTAGACATGACAACAATAACGTCGATGAAGGTCAGACATCCAGGTAATAAGATACGCCAAAAAGCAGTTGCTCAAGCAACTGGATATGATTTTGGAAACGGTCAGACGTATGTTTCAATATTAGCATACTAAAATACATAAACATTTCAGTACTTGACAATAATACTGTCATCAGACTACACAAAAACAGAGATTGTGTTCCAATAGCATACAGAATCAGACAATTTCAATACTTGACAATGATATTGTCATCACACTACACAAAAACAGAGATTGTGTTCCAATATTAGCATACAAAATCAGACAATTTCAATACTTGACAATGATACTGTCATCAGACTACACAAAAACACAGATTGTGTTCCAATAATTTATATTAGCATACAGAATCAGACAATTTCAATACTTGACAATGATACTGTCATCACACTACACAAAAACTGAGATTACGTCTCCTTGCAAGTATGCATTGCCTAAATATAGAATATTAGATGCTAGGTGTTTAAGGAACATGCTAGAATATACGATTATTCATTGACGAAGACCTGATATATATAACATAACATTTAAAAATACCTACTACATTGCAAAGTGCGGATAATCTATTGGCATTTTGGAATTTATTCAAGACGTATTCTAATGTAGAAAACAACGTTACAAACACCCTAAAGCAGCACAGAAAGGGAGATATTACACTGAACCATTAACATTGCATCAGCTCACAGACTTAAACATTTCTCTCTCTGCAAATAGCATCAAACGTGAGCGTACAGTATGGAAACTTGCAGCTTGTTCCTTCACTAATGATTACACGAACACCACAGTCACAGAATGATAAGAATTTTAGTCTTTTCACAAAAATCACGGCACACATAATGCAAAGACATTGGAGATATTTAGAAGCCTTGCAAGTCTATTGTCTTCTTGTCTCGATGATTATCGAGGATAGATTATATTTAGCATAATCTTCTTTCAATGGTGGTCTCCTCTACCCAACAGAATTTCATTTGATCCCTAATCGTGCAAAGGTCTTTTAAGTTAACATAATCTATGCATTGTGAGGTTCAAACCTGGGCTCATTGTGCCTATAGCCGGGCTCATTGTGCCTACATAGCCGGGCTCATAGTGCCTACGTAGCCGGGCTAGTTGTGTCCATGGTCGGGCTAGTTGTGCCCATAGCCGGGCTAGTTGTGCCCTTAACCAAGCTCATGGTGCCTTCATAGCTGGGCGCGGCTCATGGTACCCATAGCCAGGCTCATGGGGCCCATAGCGAGGCTCATGGTGCCTACATATCCAGGCTAATGGTGCCTACATAGCCGGGCTCATTGTGCCTATAGCCGGGCTCGTGGTGCCTACATAGCCGGGCTCATGGTGCCTACATTGCCGGGCTGATGGTGCCTAAATAGCCGGACTCATGGTGCCCACAGCCGGGTTCATGGTGCCTACTTAAGCTAAGGTCCCAATTGGGAAAAGGGGCCCTGGCGGGTAGCTCCCGGGCTGTTTTTTACCACTTCCGGGCGGGACCCCGACGTGGCCCCGCGGGGCACCCTGCGGCTACCGGGCTATTTTTTGGCCCGTCGGGGCCCCGATAAGAATTTAATTCTGAGTTAAATTCTACCCGGGCCCCGCTGACAAAAAGACGCCGTGACCTCATCGTGAGAACACCGAGAGGTACCCCTCCGGTTGCCGGCATTCCACCGGGACACATTTCTTACGTCACAGACCAGATGAACGGAATAAAGGTGTGTACTTCGTAAACCCGGGTAAAATGTGTGACCTCACAGATCAAATGATCACAACAAATACGTGAATTCTGCATTACGTATAGGTCAATGCAAGACATCGTCAGAGAATCTGCTGGGTACCTGCCGGGTGCCTGCCGGATACCGACCAAAGAGGGTGACAAAATTTCAAACAAAATGCTACTGAAGGAAACTTTTAATTGTGACCACGACAGCCGATGCCCGCTCGACTCCTGAACCCGGCCGGGGCCAGCCGGGGCTACATCCCCGACGGGCACCGGCGTAATTGGGACCTTAGCTATAGCCGGGCTCATGGTGCCTACATAGCCGGGCTAGTAGTGACCAAAGCCGGGCTCATGGTGCCCATAGTCGGGCTTGTTGTGCCCATAGCCGGGCTCATGGTGCCTACTTAGCCGGGCTCATGGTGCCTACATAGCCGGGCTAGTAGTGCCCAAAGCCGGGCTAGTTGTGTCTACATAGCCGTGCTCATGGTGCCTACATAGCTGGGCTCATGGTGCCTAAATAGCCGGGCTAATAGTGCCTACCTAGCCGGGCTCATAGTGCCTACATAGCCGGGCTGATGGTGCCCATAGCCGGGCTCATGGTGCCCATAGCCGGGCTCATGGTGCCTACATAGCCGGGCTCATGGTGCCTACATAGCGGGGTCATAGTGCCTACATAGCCGTGCTCATGGTGTCTACATAGCCGGGCTCATGGTGCCTACATAGCCGGGCTCATGGTGCCTACATAGCCGGGCTAGTACCGCCCATAGCCGGGCTCATGGTGCCTACATAGCCGGGCTAATAGTGCCCAAAGCCGGGCTAGTTGTGCCCATAGCCGGGCTTGTGGTGCCCTGGCTGGTGTGGCCTGCTTCGTTGATGGGCTGCAGTGGAATGTCCCGCCGCTGGGAGGCGCCCTGCCGGCGGGACAGCAGGCTGACGTGGTCGCTGTTGGAGTAAGGCTCCTCCCCCTGCGGCGCGACGCGGGCCCGCCGGAAACAGCGCGGGAAGGACTTGCGGAAGGCCTTGCGAAAGTTGCCCCCCATGAACGCGTAGACGAAAGGGTTGACGGAGGAGTTGGCGAACGACATGCAGTGGGCCCAGATCTTCACACAGGACATGGAGAAGTCCAGCGGGAAGGCGTTGCCATGGTAACTCTTCACCAGGTTCAGGATCATGATGGGCCCCCAGCAGACCGTGAAGCACACGACCACCACCAGCACGATCCTCGTGGTGCGGCGCTTCTGCTGCATGGCGTTCTGGTTAGATCTGTGGACACAAACTAGTTTGATTTGATTCGATTTATTAGACTGTATATACAGCCAGGATTGCCCAACTAGCCGAAGGCTGTTATAAAGGGCTAGCCACAAGAAGAAAAAAACAACAAAATTACATTGTCGGCTACACTTCAGGTTAACATACTATTACAAAACAAATGTTGCGATCTACTGACACAGACAGTTCTGGTTCGATCTGCAGAAACAAACAGTTCTGGTTCGATCTGCAGAAACAAACAGTTCTGGGTGTCTGGTTAGATCTACAGAAACACACAGTTCTGGTTAGATCTGTGGAAACACACAGTTCTGGTTAGATCTGCAGAAACACACAGTTCTGGTTAGATCTGCAGAAACACACAGTTCTGGTTAGATCTGCAGAAACACAGTAGTTCTGGTTAGATCTGCAGAAACACACAGTTCTTGTTATATCTGCAGAAACAAACAGTTCTGGTTAGATCTGCAGTAAATATGCAAATAAGTGAGGATAATTTTATGACGTCTAAAAAGAAGCAAAAGTTACCTGCGGGGCATGATTCGGTCCGTCTCGGTGAGGCCGCCGTCCGGAGCGATACGGGTCCACAGACGCCGCAGCATCTGGCTGTAGCAGGCCGTGATGATGACAACCTGCAGACAGAGGGCGTAGAAGACATTCATTTAAACCTCGGTCACAACCCGCCGTACGTGCTTCTGCGTGCTGTCTACGTGCAAAAACGTGGGCAAACGTAGGTCATCCGTGCGTGGTGAGTACAACCTCCGTACGGAATCCTACGGATTTGGGAGCACGCAGACACGCCGTAGAACTTTAAGTGCATGTAAAACTTTTTCTATGTGTGGTCTGCGGATTCACCACCCGGGCGACGCGCGTGCCCGGTACGTACCGTACGTAAGGCGCACGTGTGAGTACGACCTCCTTACGGTAAAGTTGCAATCGCACAGAGATCGTACGTTGTAAGCACGTACAACTCCATACATTTATTCATTCATCCACCCATTCATTCATTCAGTTATGTTTTCTGTATCTGTATCTGTATCTGTATAGCCGGTATAACCGCCCTTCGGCGTAACACACCAGCTTCGCGGGCATACGGCGCGGCGGCAGCTGGCTACATTACACAAATCGACTTGTTACACCTAAAGCCTCGGTCACAACCCGCCGTACGTGCTTTTTCTCCGTACGTTTTTCGGGAGGCTACGTCTGCTACGTTTTTTCTGAAAACGTGGGGAAGGAGTGGCGTCTACGCACGTCACTCGCACGGTTGCGCAAAGTGTAAGAGCGGGGACTGCACGCCAAGTTTGGCCGTGAGGGGTTGCGTGCACCGTACGTTGCGCAAGTGGTAAGTGAGTTGTACGTGCTTACAACGTACGATCTCTGTGCGATTGCAACTTTACCGCAAGGAGGCCGTACTCACACGTGCGTCTTACGCACAGTACGTCCGGGGCACGCGCGTCGCTCGTACTCGCACGCACGGGTGGTGAATCCGCAGACCGCACGTAGAAAAAGTTTTACATGCACTTAAAGTTCTACGGCGTGTCTGCGTGCTCCCAAATCCGTAGGATTCCGTACGGAGGCGGTACTCACCACGCACGGACGTCCTACGTTTGCCCACGTTTTTGCACGTAGACGGCACGTAGAAGCACGTATGGCGGGTTGTGACCCTTGAACATCTTACTCTAGACATTGCTTAAATCTATCTAATAACAAGGCTGGCATGATGCGCTCAACAGCAAGCCGAAAATGGATGTACATGTCTCGTTCGTCGACTTCAGTCGCGCGTTTGACACGATCGACCACGGTAGTCTTCTGCATAGTCTGGCAAGAATGGGAATCAGACGGGACCTGTGGAGTTGCGTGAGAAGTTACCTGAGTGACCGTATGCAGCGTGTCCGGTGGGATTCGCGTATTTCTGCCCCTCGACCAGTGCTAGCTGGAACACCTCAGGGAGGAATCATCTCGCCATCTCTGTTTGTCCTAGCTATGAACAGCCTTGACAACAACATCCCACAGAGTGTTACACCGGTCAAGTACGCAGATGACTTAACGAACTCGGAACTTCTTATGGGATCACTACCAGGTCAAATGCAAGTAGCCATAAATGAAGTCGACACTTGGGCTAAGTCCTACAGTATGGCAGCAACGTAGGAAACCAAAGACATGGTTATTAGCTGTCGTAGGGAGTCTGTGACTTCCCCTCCACTCACGCTCAACGGAGAGACTATAGAGAGAGTTCCTGCATTCAAACTTCTAGGGGTGATCGTCAGTAACGACCTGTCGTGGGGTGCACACGTTGAATACATGTTGTCCAAGGTCCGACCTCGCCTTCACTACTTGCGACTGTCCAAACGAGCGGGGCTTCCAGCAGACGTTCTGTTACAAATTTACAAGACATTTGTCAGACCAGTGCTGGAATACGGATCACCAGTGTGGGGAGGGTTACCTCGCGGGTTGGCTGACGAGCTCGAGAAAGTACAGAAAATCTGCTGCAGAATCATTGGAATTCCTTCCGGTCAACTGCCGACCCTGGAGGAGCGGAGACGTGAGGCATCCGTACGTGAACTCAGGAGGGTGATGGCGGATGACACTCACCCTTGCCAACAGTTCCTTGAGCCGGGTAGACGGACAACCTACCAACTACGCCGTCAGACTTCCAGCTACAAGATACCACTTAGCCGTACAGAGAGACATAGACAATCATTTATCCCCAGATCACTCAACATCTTGCAGCAGTGAGGGACACTATAGACTTTTATAAAAAATTTTATTGCCTCCTTGTATTTGTATTCTTAAGTTGTTCCACTCAATTATTGTCTATATTTTAATGTGTTATCCAT